TCGCCTCTTGCCTGTATGTGGACAATGGTCTCGCTATGAGAGACCAGAACATCGGGACTAGGACAACGAGTCAGGAAACAGTCTTGTCTAAAGCAAAGCAAGCGCAGAATCTGAAGGTGCTTGAGCTTACTACGCCTTCCTATTACAAAACTCTGTACTTGCGATACGTTGTCGCAATTAGCTGTTGAACGTAGCGGAGTCTAGGGTCTAGTAGCAAATACGGCCACCGAAAAAATGGATTAACAGGCCGCACGACTCACGAGAATAGTACATACTTCCTCCCAGTCTACCATGACTTGAGTTACGAGTCGATATGATGTGCTCGCAATTAAGGGATGTCAGCCAGCCTGCGAACGACATCGACTGCGACTTACATGCCGGTTCAGAGTCGAAGTCTGGCCTTCCGTTGGCGACGAATCCTTCGAAGACACAAACTGGCCGGACGTTGAGGCCTCAGGGAACTCAGCCTCTGGGAGGCAGGACATTCGCCCGATAAAGCATCATCGTTCTGACTGAACCTCTTGTTCATAGATGATTCCAATTAGATCTGAAGCGTAATTTCAGGAGTTGAGTTCAGATATCTGCGACAGATGTACGCAATTTCTCCTATTGATCATCTGTAAGAGATCCCTAATGATATATAGTACTGATCCCGTTGATCTAGAACGAATGTTGAGTATAATTGCCACTGTTACGGAAGATGATATACAGGTGTATCTCATGAGCACACGCTCCATCGTCCTTGCCGTCCCTGTCGTGATCATAGAGCCTGAGGAGAACTTTAGGCACGGGAACGTCACAGTTTGTGTTATCCTTCACATAACGACCTGGTGGGGTGTCAACCGATTTGACGAGCACAAAGATGGGACTACCTCTGATAGCCACTTTTAATCCGAAATCTCTTTGAACTGCCGGTCTCTGTCGTCCCATACTAGTGCCCAAGCCACACAAGGCAAGAGACGACCAGAACGAGATAAATCAACTACACGCGTCTGTAGCGAGTTGATATAACACACCACATTATTTGAAACTGCTTATGGATATGGCTTAGCGTCGTAATTGGTGAAACTTTAATAAAACGCGACGAAGCTTATCATTGAGCCATTGTACTCCCAAGTCCTAGAGCCGTATTGTTCGTATCCGCACAGAACCTCCAGATACGATTAGGGTCGAAATAGACACATCAGAGTTTTCTGCCTTGGCTTGGACGCATGAGTATCGTCAACATGCCCAGTGTTTGAACCCTCAATCCATCTGGCGTAACTAAAGGCTGGGCGTCAAGGAGAATAGGTGGATAGTATGCGACACGAGATAATGGCCGCAGATGAGTATGCATGTCGAGGATGTGCGTCGACCGTCGGTGAGAAGGGCTGCTCGGTGACTCTGCACAATGAGTCAACGACACGCCGCACACGCTGCGATGAAGCGGTAATCAGTCGTAATGCACAAAGTTTATTGAAAGGCCAGCAATTCATCTGTTGGAGAAGATGTATAATACAGAATGGCTGATAGTTTGACACGGTTTGTGACCTTCTTTGTTAACGGTACCAGTTTCCCACAAGGACTCCGGAAACTTTTGGAATGCCGCGACGCGACGCATACTGAGGCGAAAACCATTGTTAGGGCAAGGAAGGACTACCAGCACTAGATATCTCTGTGGATTTCGTACTGTTTCGCGAATTGGAGCTCTCGGTATCTCGAAGTAGCAAGCAGTGTCGAACGGTGGTGGCCGTTGCAAGGTCGTTGGACTTGGGAGGAAGGGATAGCGGCCCGGATTAAACCGAGGTCCGATAGAGAAATGCGGGCCGGAAATCGAAGCCCTTCTTCAACTTGTTCCACCACCTTCGCGTACCGGAGCATAGTAACTATCTCGATCCTGGCAGTGGCACACACAGAGGATCTGTTATTGCCACAGGAATGACGTTCTTCACACCGCAACCGTCAGACAGCGTCAAGCCTCAGAGCGACCATCTGCTGACTGGAAAGGGAGCTGGTCCGATAGGACTGATGAGACTCGGGCAAAAATCGAAGAGCAGTCACACAGAGAACCTCTGAATGCACCCGCTGGAGCGCTTTCAACGGACGTTCTCTAGGTATCCTCGATTTTCTGTTTCGGAACCATCGGATTCCTCCTTTACGACAAACATCAATCGCAAATTTAACTGAATATTTCCAACGTTCCTCGAGGGCGATGTATGGTGATTTTATCTGCTAATCTGTGTGAATAGCCATTGATTACTGACAGAGCCATCCCCCATCTTTCGGATATCTCCGAGTCCGTAACGTGTACAGAAGAACATCATAGTGTTGTAACGCACAAACTGCGCCCGGATGTTGATCTCTTTTCAGATTTAGGCGTCACCGAACGCATGACGGTCGACGAACTTCGGTGCCATGCTACCCCAAGTGATCCGCGTCTGGGGTATCCGAATTTGTCTGCGATGCGAGTTGCTAGCGTTGGTCCCACTTTACACCTCTTTATGGTGTTGTGACTCGTCTCACTGAGCTTGGAAAGGCGCGGCGTATCGGCTCCGCCTGCGTTTCCGTCCTTGATTTACAACTGCTGGCCGATCTATTGACGTTCTGGTGATACCCTTCGAGAAACGGCCTATGCTTTCTAACTGCATCTATCCTTGCCATGCGGGCCTATTACTTCCTTGACGCGGACGACCCAAGGAAGCAGGATTCCTGCACATTCGCTTTTCCCGAATTCCTCCAATGTGCTAGATAGTAGAGCCATTGCCTCGTTCCTCGAAGACATACTCTTGTCGATCTTCCAATTCCTGAAACTCCCGGTAGCATTTCTCGGAACTGCTACCCTGGTTATATATCACATTGGCCGTTACTCGGTCTGCATGTTACATCCAAGCACGAAGATGAATCAACGTGCTGGATGCAGTATTGTGTCTGGATACGATGTCACGAACTCCCACTCATATTCCGCCGTCAGGCAATGGTTAGACAACGAGTCAAGATGGTATGGGGTTACAAGTTGTTCTCAGCCAGGGTCGTCCTGTTTTCTGAGAAGAATAGTCCTTCCTTCGGCTGCAATGGCTCGCGGTGACTGTTCACACATGGAAGGAAGGTACTCTTGCCGCAAGGAATGTCTCGAAGATCGAGGAGTGCTGGCCGATGGAAGACCCAGGCCTTTGTCAGTGTATATTCTCAGTTTCTTCCTAGGTGCGTACTTTGGTCGTACATGTATGGATAGGCTGAGAATAGTTTCATTCGAAAGTCTCAAACAATGATGTAGTATTCATCCAGATGATGGTACAAATTAGAAAGGGTAAAATTAAGCGGTAATTTATTCAGAGTTGAAGGCGTGAAGGACATAAAATCGGGGGTCATTTTGAAGCATCAACGATGTGGGGGTAGAAGAATGGAAGGAAGAAGTTGAACGGCCTGCGAGAATCAAGCGACTTGGGACATAGGCGCATCCCTAGCCTTGGCCAGAGGCTGGGTATTCTCCCTTAGTCCTTTCAATGCCGAGAAGGACACAATCGCCGAAATGAGGGTGAACAAGAACGCGAACCAGGGAATGATTCCGAACCAGAGGACTGGCAAAAAGATGAGCTCAACGATACAATACTATCGGGATGGAAGACTTACTGAAGTGAATGTGCCTGTACAGAGGGTTGACTCCAAGCGATGCTGCAGCTTCGAGGAGCGTCTCTGTGGGGACCGCGACACCATCTTTCCATCCCCAAATCTCTACGCCCTTTCGGCGCACCGCGTCAGATACTGGAATCTGGCAAGCGAATAGTGCGACGGTAAGGAAGGTGAAGACGTATGCGTGGATAGAAATGGACTTTCTGCTCGTAGCACCTGAGCCGACGAACAAACTAATGACGGCGGCGAGGGAGTACAGGGCCGTGATGACACAGAAAACCTCGGAAGCTATGGCAGGATGAACGACACCTATACTCTCGCATTAGATTGAAGGGGCGATAACGAAATATTGAACGTACTGTTCGTAACGAGTCTCAGAGTGATTCCAAGGGGTGCGACGGATCTCCGGAGGAACGACTTGAGCTGGTTCTGCTTCACTACCGTATTGAGACCGATGGAAAGGCTGATAGCGCCCCACGCAAATGCCATGGTGTACGCCCCCAGACGAGCAAGGAAGAACGGTGCGGGTGGGGGTGCCATTTCGATACGGAGGTAGGAAGTCAATCGTTCGGCAGCGACCCCGCAGCTTTTATAGGCCAGGGAGACCCATGGGGAGCGGGGAAGGCGTTCTGGACAGTCTAGACAAGGGGTCGAGAATGCGGGGGCGAGTGAAGAATAACCGGAGCCCAACTACAGGCCGGGAAAAGAGGGTTGTTCATCTATCCAAAAAGAAGATAATTCAGCGGATTTTTGGTTATATCAAGGTGCTTCCATGGGGAGATAGCAGGTATCGTTCCAAGTATTCGAAATCATCGTCTTTGCTCGTGTCCCAGTCTTCCTCCAAACTTTGTTGCCGCTGCACTACGAAGTCGCGTTAGACTTGCGGCGACCCCAGGTGAACGGGCCTGAAAGGCTGGAACCGAAGAGTTATCTGAAGACAAGAGTCCTCACACACTTCGTGGACATCTTTAGCGAAAATTGGGAACATACAATATTCGGATAGCTTACTGATATGCAACCGAGATGAATGAATGGATTATGGGAGCATCCGGATCGGCAAGCGTTCAGGGTCATAGGTAAGCGCTTTCACCTGCATTTCGGGCACCCTGTAAGGATCATTTCGGATCCTTTGAAAGTAGGAAGATGCTGATGTAAGTGGTGAACCAATGACATGTACGGTGCAAGTACGGTGAGCATTTTGAGATAGTTAGTGAGTTGATCATAGACTAAGTTGAGATATCGGTAGGGGGGGCAGTAAGCTAGGTTGGCCACTGAAGCTAGACTAGGATATATCGCTGGTATTGGATTGCACAATATAATATATTGCAATCCACCGATCTAAAGTGATCTAAAGCAAGCAGAAGTAGGTCACGAGATACAAATTTGCATGTGCCCCCTTTGTCTAATGGTTATGACGTCAGACTTCTACTGCCCTCTACGGGACTTGTACTCAATTCACGGTGGGACAATCTGGAGGTTGCGGGTTCGAGTCCCGCAGGGGGTTATTTTTTCGGCCTTGCCGCCGCTCCGGCAGCCCGGCACAGCGCATGCCGAACGTCGGCATGGTTCTCGGGCCGAGAATGTCGGCCCAACTAGGCATTATCCGCCGGGTTGCCGGCGGGCCCTACGTTCGGCTGATAGGATGACCTGCCCGGTCTCCGGCCCCTGCCGAAGCTACGGCGTGCTCGGCATGGACCGAGCTCACATTTTCCAGCTATGCTATGATTTCATAATGAGTGGGATGGTATTTGGGATAAGAACCACGGTGATGCGGATTTGAAGGAGTCTTAATAAGTTGCGTATCCATTTCCACACTCCCTTTGGAGATCTGTATTGACTTTCTTGTGTCGTGGGGATAGACCGTACGTGCGGCACTCATTCAAGCATCATAGATGCAGTGACGGGGTGTTTTGCACGGGCTTGTTGCTCACGAATGATAGATAAGTCGATGAGGTCCTTTGTTCCTCGTCGAAGACGGAGCCTTGGTCGAGGGAAATAGGAAAGAAAATGTTCCCTTGGAACACACATTTACTCCGAACAAGATCACTCAGAGTCGACTTAGAGAGAGACGGCTTTGTATTTCCACCAAGCGCACCAGCACTGTGACTATATAGGTTATGTAATTAAAATCGCTTCCTTCCGGAGGTCTTGCGCTCTAGAAAACCATAGACAAAACTATCGCAACAAAAACAGCACCAACCAACCCCACCTGGATCCCGGAAGCACCGTTGTCGCTAGCAAGGGTGACACCAAACTTAGAACAGGTAGCACCATATTCTGAGGCAAAAGAAAGAGGGTGGTGAGTCAATGATGCGTTGTTCGGCGACGGAACTCACGAGCGATAACAGCTTTGCCGATGTCACTGGTAATATTGCCCTGGGCGACCACGCAGTTCACGCAAGATACGATTGACTGATCCGTCTGATCGTCGCACATGCATGCACTTGTCGAACAGTTCTGGATGATGCTGTTAGGAAAGATATATCAGAATCGGAGCCGAGAAACGCGGCTTACGCTGAGATACGTGATCACAGTTTGAGTACAATTCGCGGAACAAGCCGATGGGATTGAGGATTGCGGAAGTTCCGTGAGGTTCTTAGTTGATTGACGAGCGGCTAGGTAGATATGCGGAGACGCCAGGTCGTAGAATTGGTGCGAGAGGACTAGATAGGCACATAAGCACGGGGTCTTCGAAAGCTGGGACAACAACGTACCGCCCGGGAGAGCAAAGACGAGGGCAAAAAGGAACGAAAATGCCAGCATGATGGAAAGACGAAGGCTTGAAAGAAAGAGTTAGACCTCGCAGAGGCAAAGAAAGAAAGAAACAGTGGTGGTGGTGGTAAAGACAAGAGCGTAGTGATGGTTGACACGGTGGTATTATCAGCCGCTTGCATCAGTTTAGCCATCAGCGGGGCTAAAATTATATGGGCTTGACCATTGTAGGAAAAGCGCAGCAGCAGTGAAACAGTGATGGTTACAAAGGAATCAGCCTATATGAGAGGACCGTGAGACTAGGGGATATAAGCAGCGCAATATATGCAGCGTGTAATTGGGGATCACGAAGAGGCGCAGTCGTTTAGAAAGCAGTTAATCGTGATAGCATCAGTGTCGAGAATTATGAAGACAGTTACGGTGTGAAAATCAAGGAACAAGTAGAGGTAAAAAGCATAACCGTGGTGAAACTTCAGCTTCAGCACATGCGCAGCATGTGAGGCTGTCGAATGCCATGCCACGGTAGTTGAAACTTTTGAAAGTTCGAACTTTCAAGTTTCGAAGGTAGGAAAGCAGAGCCCAGTTCCAGCTTCCAACAGCCAGGCGGTGACAGATGACACTGGCCAAGGAAGTATAGGGAGTAGCCAAGAGTTTTTTGGATAGTTCAAACGACCAATCTCCCCATTGGGCCGCACGCGTGGGGGGAAGAGGCAACCCTAACCAGAGGGTGACGGAGTTTGAAATATCACCGGTTTTGGGAATTCATCACGCTGACGACATCCGTCACGTCACGCTCTCATCATCCTTGACCTAAACCGCCATCCTCCTTATAACGCGTCGAGGGCGACGGCGAGCACCCCTTGGGACGACGACGACGACGACAGCAGGAAAGAAACAAAACTTCCTTTAAAAATCGCAGCGCCCGTCAAGCTTCAAAATGGCTGGAAAACCCAACAAACTCGCCTTCCTGTCTATGCCTGCACCGGCGTCCTATGTCGCTGGTCTAGGGCGAGGGTACGTCTGCATTATCTTCGCAATGAATGTTCTCTCATTCTCTCTTAGTGCTTCTGGGTTTACCACACGATCCGATATTGGTCCAGCACGGGAGGGGCCCAGTGCTGAGGTTATTGCGTACGCCGAGTTGTTTTTATTTCGAACTGTTACTCATTACTTTCCAGTGAAGCCCAAGCTCGACGCGGCGAAGAAGCAGAAGTAGATCCAGACCAATTCCAGGATCCTGACAACGAATACGGCCTCTTTGCCGGTACGACATACGAAGCAGATGACGAGGAAGCGGATCGGATCTATGAAAAGGTGGACGAAGCTATGGACGCGAGGAGAAAAGCACGGAGGTACGGAATTCTACTTTGATTAGTATTCACCTCATCCTGACCTACTCTTTAGGGAAGCACAGGAACAGCTTGAAATGGCGAAGCACCGGGCAGAGCGTCCAAAAATTCAAGCTCAATTTGCTGATTTGAAGCGAGGACTGACAGCGGTAACTGATGCCGAGTGGGAGGGTATACCGGAAGTCGGCAACTTGACGCGCAAGAAACGGAAAACCGAGGGGAGAACGTACGTCGTTCCGGATAGTATATTGGTGGGAGATAGAGAGAGAGGTGGTATAGGGAACGTCGTCCAAGACGGACAGGAAACCCCTGCGAATGCTGGCACTCTGACAAACTTTGTGGAAATTGGCCAGGCAAGAGACAAAATATTATCGCTAAAGCTGGATCAGGTTTGTCCGTTTTTTTCTACCCAAGAATGGGTCTCATATTTTTTTTTACAGATATCCGGTACTGCTACTTCTCTTGGAGCCTCTGGAACGTCCACTTCCATCGACCCTAAAGGCTACCTCACCTCTCTCGACAGCGTACAACTGAAATCCTCTGCCGAAATCGGCGACATCAAGCGTGCGCGCATGCTCTTCGATTCGCTGGTAAAGTCAAATCCAAAACATGCTCCTGGGTGGATCGCGGCAGCATGTTTAGAGGAGCATGCTGGTCGTATGGTCGCCGCAAGGAAGCTTATTCGTGAAGGATGCGAACGATGCCCCGCCAGTGAGGATGTGTGGTTGGAGGCGGCGAGGTTACATGTAAGCGAACGTTTATATTTGACGGCATATCTAATCAGCTTTTCTAGAGCAATGATGATGCCAAGGTGATACTAGCCAATGCCGTGCAACATGTCGGTCAGAGCGTCAAGATTTGGCTCGCTGCGGCGGATTTAGAAGGAGATGTTAAAGCGAAGAAGAGGGTGCTGAGAAAAGGTATTATTTTTGTTTCGCTGATGAACATTCCTCACCGTACCTTGCCTAGCCCTTGAACATATCCCCAACTCCGTTCGATTATGGAAGGAAACTGTCAACCTGGAGACTTCGGCCACAGATGCGCGTACCTTACTCTCCCGTGCCGTTGAAGTAATCCCGCTTTCGGTGGAGCTGTGGCTTGCCCTGGCGCGTATCGAGACACCTGACAAAGCAAAAGCCGTTCTGAATAAAGCACGTAAAGCGGTCCCGACGTCTCATGAGATATGGATCGCCGCTGGACGCTTGTTGGAGCAGGAGGCGGATAAAAACGAAGATCCCGAGAAGAAGAAGAAAGAGATGGATACTGTGGATAAGACCATCGAGGCCGGCGTACGCGAGTTGCGGCGGCATCAGGTGCTGCTTACGCGAGAGCAGTGGCTGAAAGAGGCCGAACGGTGTGAGAGTGAGGGATCAGTGACAACGTGTGAGGCGATCGTGAAAGCTACGGTTGGCATGGAGCTCGAAGATGAGGACCGTTTGGATACGTGGATAGGCGACGCTGAGTCTGCTGAAGGACGGGGAATGGTCGGGACCGCTCGAGCCATCTTGGCATATGCTCTGAAGGTATATCCGGATAAACGTGCACTGTGGCAGCGTGCAGCAGATTTGGAAAAGACCCATGGCACCAGAGAGGGATTGGATGAGTTGCTGGGACGCGCTGTAGAGTGTTGCCCGCAAGCAGAGGTTCTGTGGTTGATGGCTGCCAAAGAGAAGTGGCTTGCTGGAGATGTTCCCGGGGCGAGAGGCGTCCTCGAGAGAGCGTTCATTGCCAATCAGGAGAGCGAGCAGATTTGGCTTGCCGCTGTCAAACTTGAAGCGGAGAATGGTGAGACGGGTGTGGCAAGACAGCTGCTGGTCCGGGCGAGGGATGTCGCAGATACTCAAAGGGTTAGTGTAATGATTCTTCTTGCTTCACCTTGCTAATATTTCTCTTACAGATCTGGATGAAGTCTGCCGTCTTTGAACGACAACAAGGACAGATCGACGAAGCGCTCAAGACTCTTTCCGCCGCTCTCAAGAAGTTTCCCAAGTTTGCGAAATTGTATATGGTACAGGGACAGATATACGAAGACCGAAATGACATCCCTTCTGCACGCGCGTCGTACGCTACGGGGATCAAATCTTGCCCCAAGGAGCCGACGCTCTGGATGCTAGCGAGCCGGCTGGAAGAAAAAGACGGCAAGAGCATAAAGGCCCGTGCCCTCCTGGAGAAGGCCAGACAAGTCAATCCCGGAAACGAGTGGCTATGGCTGGAATCCATAGGGGTGGAAGAGCGGTCCGGTGGCGGAGCCAGTCAGGTTCTTTCTCGCGCTCTACAAGACTGCCCAACGAGCGGAGTTCTCTGGTCCAAGAGCATTTGGAGCGAGCCGAGACCGATGAGGAAAGCCCGTTCAGCCGATGCGCTGAAGAAGACCGGCAGTGGAGAAGGTGGTGGTAGCGCTGTCGTTATTTGTACGGTCGCCCGGCTGTTTTGGGCAGAGAGG